CCCCCCCCTAGAAGGGTCGAAGTTAAAATTGAACTCAATGAGGACGCCAAGCTGCCCAGAAGTAGGTTATACCCCATGTCAGTTAAAGAGATGGAGGAACTGAGAAAATATATTGACAAGAACTTAGCCCGAGGGTTCATAAGACCTTCCGAATCACCCTTGGGGGCCCCAGTGCTGTTTAGGCACAAGAAGGACGGATCGTTGAGACTGTGTGTGGACTACAGGGGGCTAAATGCAGTGAGCACAACGAACAATTACCCAATGCCGCTAACCAAAGACTTACTGTCAAGACTATCAGAGGCAAGGGTATTCACGAAAATTGACTTAATTGAGGCCTATCATAAGTTGCGGATAAGGCCCGAGGACAGGTGGAAAACGGCGTTCACCTGTGCGTTCGGCCATTTTGAATATTCTGTCTGCCCCTTCGGGCTAAAAGGCTCTGGATCAGCCTTTATGCAGATGATTAACGAGGTCCTGCACCCTTTACTGTATCGCAGAGTTTATTGCTTTGTAGACGATGTAATTGTGTTTTCTCGTGATGAACGATTTCATGTTCAATTGGTGAGGGAGGTACTCCAGAAATTGAGGGAGGCGAAACTGTTTGCAAAGCTGCCAAAATGTGAATTCAATAAGGAGCAGATAGACTTCCTGGGGTACCGAATCTCCAAAGGAGGGATAGCAATGGATCCGTCAAAGGTAGAGGACGTCAGGGGGTGGAGCCCTCCACAAACACGCAAGCAATTGCAATCGTTCCTCGGGTTTGCAAATTTCTATCGGGGTTTCATAAAGGACTTTGCTCAAGTGACTTTACCCCTAACCGAACTGCTAAAAACAAAGGGAAAAGGGGAGACAGTAAAGGTACGATCCCCGGGAGCAAAATTGAATTGGTCAACAGAGTGCCAAAGGGCTTTTGAAGAATTGAAACGTAGATTCACTGAGGAGCCAATCTTAATCCACCCCGATTTGACCAAGCCGTTTGTGATCCATTGTGACGCATTGGATTGGGCTTATGGGGCAGTCCTGATGCAAAAGGATCCAGAAGGGAGGTTGAAACCCTGTGGATTTATCTCAAAGAAGTTCAGCGAAACTGAAAGGAACTGGCCAGTGTGGGAAAAGGAAGCTCTGTCAGTCTTAAGGGCTCTAGAAACGTGGAGACACTTATTAGAGGGAAGCGGCATACCCTTTGAGGTGTGGACCGACCATAAAAACTTACAATACCTCACTTCACCCAGGCAATTGTCAGCAAAACAAATAAGATGGGGCCAGTATTTCAGCAGATTTGATTTTAAATTACGGTTTCATAAGGGGAAGCAAAATGTGATCGCAGACACATTGTCAAGAATGCCAGAGGGCGAAGGGAGGGGGCAAGGCCCAAAGGGGAGCATATTCTCGGAACAGCAGTGGGGCATGGCAGTGCAGACCCGAGCACAAACGGAGCGCAGTCAAAGGCTGGTGGGGGTTGAGAGCAAGGACGGGGGATGGGAGGCGGAACTAAGGCAAGCATGCAAGGAGGATGAGTGGCTGGAAAGAAACAAGGAAAAGGTGGAATGGAAAGACGGATTGGGATTTGTAAACAAGAAGTTATACATCCCAAGCAACCTAAGGGAAAAAATGATGGTTAGATGCCATGGCAACAAGGGAGCCGGACACTGGGGAGTGACAAAAACCCTAAAATTGTTGGCACGCCAGTGTTGGTGGCCTGGGATGAGGGGTGACACCAAATCATATGTGTCCCAATGTAATGCGTGTGCACAAAACAAGACAACCACACAAAAGCCAGCAGGGTTATTGCAAAAGGTAGCAGAGCCATCAAAACCTTGGAGAGTGATTGCTATGGACTTTGTGGGCGAACTTCCGGTCAGCCGAGGTCAGCGATACATATGGACAGTGATGGACTTATTCTCAAAACAAGCACATTTCATTGTTGTTGTTGTTCATTCGTTCAGTCGTCTCCGACTCTTCGTGACCTCATGGACCAGCCACGCCAGAGCTCCCTGTCGGCCGTTACCACCCCCAGCTCCTTCAAGGTCAGTCCAGTCACTTCAAGTATGCCATCCATCCATCTTGCCCTTGGTCGGCCCCTCTTCCTTTTGCCTTCCACTTTCCCCAGCATAATTGTCTTCTCTAGGCTTTCCTGTCTCCTCATGATGTGGCCAAAGTACTTCAACTTTGTCTCTAGTATCCTTCCCTCCATGAGCAGTCGGGCTTTATTTCCTGGAGGATGGACTGGTTGGATCTTCTCGCAGTCCAAGGCACTCTCAGAACTTTCCTCCAACACCACAGCTCAAAAGCATCGATCTTCCTTCGCTCAGCCTTCCCTAAGGTCCAGCTCTCACATCCGTAGGTTACAACAGGGAATACCATGGCTTTGACTAGGCGGATCTTTGTTGCCAGTCTGATGTCTCTACTCTTCACTATTTTATCGAGACTGGACATTGCTCTCCTCCCAAGAAGTAAGCGTCTTCTTCACATTTCATAGCGCTGCCTAAATTGCCATCGGCGGAGAAGTTAGCTGGGCTATTTATCAAGCACATCTATAGGCTGCATGGCTGTCCGGACCAGGTGATCAGTGATCAAGGGGTGCAGTTTACGGCCAGGTTCTGGGAAGAGTTCATGCAATTGATGGGAGTAGAAAGGACCCTGAGTTCAGCATTTCATCCCATGACAAATGGGGGGGTCGAGCGTACACAACAGACATTGGGGCTATTCCTAAGGACATACACAAATCATTGCCAAACCGATTGGGCTGACTTGCTTCCGTTTGCAGAAATCGCGTACAACGGAGCATGTCACGCCTCCACAGGGAAGTCCCCATTTGAGATAGTATACGGTATGGAAGTAACCCCTTTACCCAAGTTGCCGAGTTGGGGGGAAGAACCTTGGGGGAAGGAAGGGTGGCCAGACAAGGTAAAAGCAATTTGGGAGGACGTGGCGAAATCACTCCAAGAAGCCCAATGAAAGTACAAGCTGTTTGCGGATAGGAAAAGGAGGGAGGGAGACGAATTGAAAGAAGGGGACTTGGTGTGGCTTAGCACAAAAAACATCAAGCTAAATACCCCCTCTCGGAAATTGTCCCCTAAATACATTGGTCCTTTCAAGATTTCTGACAAAATAAATGACGTAACATACACATTAAAACTGCCAAAGATTTTGGGAAAGATACACCCAACATTCCATTGTAGCCTATTAAAGAAATACCAGGGCCCGCTAGATAAAGAAGGGACATGATGGTGATATGTGTTTCCCTTCCAGGATGAAGAGGAGGAGGAGGGGGACGTCATGTCAGGACTCGGTTTCCTGGCCTTGGAAGGTGGCGCAAAAAACCGGATTCCTGACATGGAGAACCGATAAGGAATTGCAGCTGGTGGCCTTGGGAAGGGCAGTTGGTGGTTTGGCGGGGAATATTGAGCGGGATCCTGGGTCGGCGGAAGGGGGAATTTGAATGTGGGGAGGGTATATAAAGGGCTGACGTGCGTCTGTATGCCAATCCTGGCTTTCATTGTGTATATGTATCCAGCAGTAAAAGGTTTCCTGATTGATTACGGACTGGCGTCTTGTGTCTTTTCGGGGAGCGGCTGCTGTGAGCTTACAGCCCATGAGGTCTCTTCCAACTCTTTGATTCTTTGATTCTATGATTCTATGAAGAGACTGTGCTCTGGCACCACGAGATGCAGAGCCAACCTTAAGAATTGGGGCTACAAAGTGGAATCCATGACATGCGAGTGTGGAGAAGAGCCACCTGCTGCAATGCAACCTGAGCCCTGGCACATGCACAATGGAGGACCCTCTTGCAGCAACACCAGAGTCACTCCAAGTGGCCAGCTACTGGTCAAAGGACATTTAATCAACTACCAAGCTTGTTAACTTTGTGTTCTGTTTGTTTGTTGGTTAAAAATGCAATGCAACTGTTAGGTATGTTCCTGACACGATAAATAAATAACCTTAGATCGAACACTAACCTTTAGAAAATACTGCATGAACTCCAAGCACAGGGTTGCTGCACGCAATAACATCATGTGGAAACTGACTTGCAGCACATGGGGAGCAGACCCAAAATTAATAAGAACATCAGACCTGGCCTTGTCTTACTCAACTGCCAAGTATGCCGTTTGGCATAAGTCTGTTCGCATGAAGGTGAACACAGCACTGAACAAAACATGCAGAATAACCACAGGATGTCTCAAACCTACACCTGTTGATAGACTCTACAGGCTAGGTGGCAATGCCCCCCCCCCCCCCCCCCCCCCCCCGGACGTGCGATGGGAAGTTGCTGCCAACTGTGAGAGAAATAAGGTTGAACACCGTGAAAACCATCCACTAAATGTGATTCCTGCTTCTTGGGACAGGATGGCCCATGAGGTGTCTTCCATCTCAATGGTTCTATGATTCTATGATTCACTACATGGCAATCAGTCTCCTCCCAGTAGACCCAAATCAAGGAAAAGCTACATGAGAACCACCACTCCTCTTAATGTTCCTCCAGCAACAGCAAGAACATCCCCCTGGGAAGTTAAACGAGGAAATCCCGATTGGATGGTCCCCAGGACAGTCTTCCTCCAGGGTCAAACCAAGAATGGGCAACCTGGATGTCCCTGAACAGATTCCTGGCAAAATGGAACTACCTAAAAGAACCATCCACCTTGTGCGATTGTGGATCAGAACAAACAATTCCGCATCTGTATGCTTGTCTACAATACCCTGCCTCATGTAAAGAGGAAAAATTGTTTAAAGCTACAGACAATGTGGTCTGTTGCCCAGTTTTGGTCAAAAATTATTTAGCCGCTTGTGCTCCTTCTATTTTTATCGGTTTTATACTTATGTATGCAATGCTTATTACATGAAATTAATAAATCTGAAAGATAGGGTGGATTATAGTAAAGTTTATTATCATCATCATCATCTTTGTGAAAGGGGATGGTGATATGCCTAGCAATACAACAGGAGCTACATCAATTGATAGAAAACCCTTTCCCTGCTATTTGCCCTTTCTCATTCCTTACCTGACCTTCTTCTGCCCGAGAATCATTCCCCAACAATGGATCTGTAGGTGGCGCCTGAATGGTAACGGATTTCTCAGAGCGACTGCCATCTTTACTCCGAGGCGATTTGTGCCTGTCTCGGCTCCTTTTCCATGAAAGAGGAAGAAAGTGGTATCACAAAATGACCCTTTCATTCTCCTGCTAAGGTCTGCCCACAAAGCAGCAGCAGCTTTGCAAGTTTTTTTTGTCTAGGAGATAACCCATTGCTTAGCTCAGAATGCAGGCCTGGAATGTGCCTAGGCAGCCCAAAGATCAAAGGGTCAGACCAATTTTTTTTGAAAAAGCAGAAAATAGATTGTGTCGTTCAGAGAGATTACATGGGAAAGTTGTGAAGGAATTCATGGGAAATGGAATGATTTCATGGGTGTCTATTAAACAAGTTGTTTACCTTAAGGTCTGTTTAGACAATGCTGCGTTAGAGTGAGAAGCTAAGCCTGAGTTCTCTTGTTCCTGGTTCAAGTTTTGATTTTGGACTTTATATATATTCTGGAAGTTTTCAATGTTCATGTTCATGTATTCCTCATCAAGTTTTTCTAGTTATGCCTTCTTAATTGTGGACTTAAGCTGTACCTGTGATTTCTGGCTGTTCCTGGACTTTGTCACCTTTGGAACTTTATGAGACATTTGGATTATTGTTTGGTTATTACCTATTACTAAGCATTTTTGAATTATATATCTTCCTTTCTTATTCCTGATTTTATATATGTTTTTAATATGTTTTTACAATAAATTGTTTGCTTATAATCTTGTGTGGTGTGGTGGTCATTGATGTTTCCAGGCCCAAAGCGCAAGAAAATCAGAGAATAGACAATGTAACAAGACAACTGCATTATGTTAAATGTTTTGAAATAAGTAAATAAGACTTATTTCAAAACAGTAAATAAGTAAATAAGACATCTCCATTGAGAGTTATATCAAACTATATCCAGGCTTTCCAGTGGCATACTACCATATTCTACTTAATTTCTTGGGAATCACTGGCTCCAAATATTGAAAACCTGCAGCCTTTCTCAAACGCAAAAGATCTATGTAAAAGCAAACTACACCAACAAAACAGATGCATCCAACCTCGGTGTACATGGAAAGTTTTCCACATTTTGCAGTTTTTGCAGTTTACAGTGTGATAACAATGCAGGCAGTTCTGCAACTGTAATACAAAGCCGACAGTGACGTCACTCAAAATAATGACACACCATGTTCAGACTAGAAACTAAATACTGTGCCAAGCTTGCTCTGGCGTGGGTGCCCTCAAGACACGCACATGTTTATTTAGGGAGCTTCTTCTAGGAGGGTGAGACTAAAAGGTGGATGGACATGTTACTTCTTGCTCCGGGAAAGATCTCCAAAGCAGGAAGCCTAGATAATTGGAATAAAAAAGGATTGCAGGGAGCTCCAAAAGGATGTCTCCAAACTGAGAATGAACAGTAAAATGACAAATGTGATTAAGTTTAAACAAGTGTAAAATCAAGCATACACAGGACAAAAAAAAATCAGCTTTACGATTGCATCTGAATTAGCAGTGATTGACCCACAGACATGTGAGCAAGCACACTGTGAACAGAATCTTGAATTATAAAGGCCTTTGGTCTGACTTAAGAAAGATATTTAAGCTGTGTGTCAAAAGGCTTACTAATACACTTAATTAACACCAGTATTCTGGAATGAATAGGAAAATTTATAAAGGAATTGATACAATTGTTCTGAATTAGTCCTACATATTTCTGGAAGATGTCTTTAAAATTAATTTTCTAAAGAAAAACATCTTCCTTTGAAATATGTCATCTTTAAAAAAAAACAAATACCATTTTGGTAGTGAACCATGCACACTAAATGGTAAAACACTATTTAAAAAGACAGAGCAATATACTCATACCCTTGTCGCTGAGCTTTTCTGGAGTGACTTGAATAGTGGGAATATTCGGAGTAGGTTGACTCCGTATCCATGGCCACAGGAAAGTCTTGGGACAGCAGAGAGCAGCACACGTCTTGCACTCAGAAGAGCCACCAAGTCCCGAGGAAGAGTTTGGGTGGGGATAATTAAGAGTCTTGATCATCCACAGGTTGAAGACAGTAATAATGTTACTTTTCGGGTTATGGCTCCTTTAATCTGCAACATCAATCTAGAAAAAGGAAAGGAAAAAAGTCACACAAAGAATTGGTGCATTCACCATAACAAATCTTGTCTTCTCCCGATTACTAATATCCAGACACTCTGTACCTAGGAATCATAGAGTTGGAAGAGACCTCATGGGCCATCTAGTCCAACCCCCTGCAGGAATATTGCATTCAAAGCACTCCTGACAGATGTCCATCCAGCCTCTGTTTAAAAGCTTCCAAAGAAGGAGCCTCCACCACACTCCGGGGCAGAGAGTTCCACTGCTGAACGGCACTCACAGTCAGGAAGTTCTTCCTCATGTTCAGATGGAATCTCCTCTCTTGTAGTTTGAAGCCATTGTTCCGCGTCCTAGTCTCCAGGAAGCAGAAAACAAGCTTGCTCCCTCCTCCCTGTGGCTTCCTCTCACATATTTATACATGGCTATCTTATCTCCTCTCAGTCTTCTCTTCTTCAGGCTAAACATGCCCAGCTCCTTAAGCCGCTCCTCATAGGGCTTGTTCTCCAGACCCTTGATCATTTTAGTCGCCCTCCTCTGGACACATTCCAGCTTGTCAATATCTCTCTTGAATTGTGGTGCCCAGAATTGGACACAATATTCCAGGTGTGGTCTAACAAAAGCAGAATAGAGGGGTAGCATTACTTCTCTAGATCTAGACACTATGCTTCTATTGATGCAGGTCAAAATCCCATTGGCTTTTTTTGCCGCCACATCATTGTTGGCTCCTGTTTAACTTGTTGTCCACAAGGACCCCAAGATCTTTTTCACACATACTGCTCTCGAGCCAGGCATTGTCCCCCATTGTGTATCTTTGCATTTTGTTTTTCCTGCCAAAGTGGAGTATCTTGCATTTGTCACTGTTGAACAAACTTCATTTTGTTAGTTTTGGCCATTCATCTCTAATCTGTCAAGATCGTTTTGAATCCTGCTCCTGTCCTCTGGAGTTTGGTGTTGTCTGCAAACTTGATGATCCTGCCTTCTAGCCCTTCATCTAAGTCATTAATAAAGATGTGGAACAGAACCGGGCCCAGGACGGGCTGAGAACGGCGGTCTACAAGTGCAGTAAATAAAATAAATTGTGGCACTCCGCTCGTCACTTCTTTTCAGGATGAAGAGGAAGCATTGGGGAGAATCACCCTCTGGGTTCGTCCATTTAACCAATTACTGATCCACCTCACCGTAGTTTTGCCTAGCACACATTGGACTAGTTTGTTTGCCAGAAGGTCATGGGGAACCTTGTTGAAGGCCTTACTGAAATCCAGGTATGCTACATCCACGGCATTCCCCGCATCTACTCAGCTTGTAACTCTATCAAAAGAAGAGATCAGATTAGTCTGGCATGACTTGTTTTTGATAAATCCATGTTGAGTATTAGCAATGACTGCATTTGTTTCTAAGTGTTTGCAGACCACTTCCTTAACAATCTTTTCCAGAATCTTTTCCAGAAGCCCCGAGGCTCACAGCAGGGCTCCTGAGACATTAACACCTGGTTGGGAAAGGTTGTGCCATCACATCTTGACAGACTACACTATGTGTAGCACTCGAAAGTGTTGACTACAGCCCCCATCATCCCTCACAACTGACAAAGCTGGTGTGAGCTCCTGGGAGCTGCATTACTACGGTCTTATAGGGTCCAAACGTACCACCCAAAGTTACATTTGGCTCTTATAAGGCTATGCCGAATGCAATATCTGGCTGTTCAAAGTCATGCATTTTTATATTTCCATTTTATGTCCTTTAAAATTCTGAAGTGTTAGGTTATCTTTACTCTTAAAGGAACTGTAAAAAATGGATGCAAAGCTTAAATTTTAAAGAGATCTACAAAACAAAACAAAACAACAGCAGTGATATGTTGTGTGCAAAGGGGTTGCGGACAAAAGGAATATATTGCTCAAAGGCCTTTTAAGACCCAAAGTAAGGATGAGTTTCCCATTTGCCACAGAAGGATTGGTGACTAGCAGGTTGAAATCGGGAATAAAACATAACTTCCTGGGCCCAGTCACAAACAGGCCTGACTGTTCAGAAGAGTCTTTAGGCCAGGCATCCTCAAACTGTGGCCCTCTAGCTGTTTAGGCCTCCAGCTTGTCAATATTTCAGCTTGTCAATATCTCTCTTCAATTGTGGTGCCCAGAATTGGACACAATTGGACACAGTCTCCCATCCAAGTATTGTTGGCTCCCCACATTTTCAAGTTTCATTTTTGCAGATTTCATGATTTGCAGATTTGGTTACTATGATCTCTCTGAAAATCTTGAGATCCTCCAGTGTAATTCTGTGGTCAACATCTATCAGGCATTTCACCGTGGAATTGTGCTAGGAAACCTAGAGATTTCTAGAGGGGTGTTCTCTCGGGTAAAACCAAACTTTGTTTTCATTCAGTTTTCTCATTTTTGTGGAAGTTTCACCCCTCTAACTTCAGCAAATGTTGGCTGTACTAGCCAGGGTTGAAAGTCTCATTTCCAAGATCACGTAACACTTTCATATGTCAATGTAAATCAAGAACAGATTTTTATTTTTTTTTTATCATGTCAGAAGCAACTTGAGAAACTGCAAGTCGCTTCTGGTATGCGCAGTGAGTTAAACCCCTGTGCCAGCAGGACTGAAGACTGACAGGTCGCAGGTTCGGGCAGAGGCAGATGAGCTCCCTCTATCAGCTCCAGCTCCTCATGAAGGAACATGAGAGAAGCCTCCCACAAGGATGATAAAAACATCAAACGATCCGGGCGTCCCCTGGGCAACGTCCTTGCAGACGGCCAATCAAGAACAGATAACATTCTTTCACCAAACATCTTTCTAATTAATATAAGCACAGAAGCTGTGAATAAGTCTGCTGCTCAAGTTCATACTGTAAAGCATTTGGTCATTACTTCACTATTCAAAGGAGCCAATTTTTTTCTGACTGGTCAAATGCCCAACCCTAACTGAGCTAAGAAAGAAGAATGCAAAGGAATGTTAATAAGGGGGCAGCCAAGAGACAGGCTGCAAAATAGGAGAGACTAGAGCCAAGTGAGAGGGGAGAAAGGTTACAGGAAAAAGAACATTACCCCCAACACACATTCAGCCTGGGAGAACTTGCCAATTTTCAGCAAGCTGCAAAAAATACAGTAAGAACACACTGCATCCAGAGCACAGAGACGCTAAACTGCCACTTAGCATTTCATAATCTACGAAAGTTTATGCTACCAACTTCTTGCTCAGTCAGGCTCAAAGGTGCTACAAGATCCCTTGGCAAGCTGCAGCAAAAACATGCCACAGAAGAAGACTGAAAGCATAAACTTCCTGTCTTAAACTAATCTCATTTTGCTACTTTACCTATCTGTAGTTAATGAACAAACCAGGATCACAAATCACCAGGGAAATTTTTTGGACATCAACTTTTGGGATTAAATCTGAGGTGAAACAACCAGAGTTTTGGATTTAAATGTTTGAAGCTGATTTGATTTCCTATAGTCCCGTTTCAGAATGTGGATTAACTTCATTGAACTGGATTATATCAGTCTACACTGTCCTATAATCCAGATCAATTCAGTTTTTTTGTTGTGTCAGGAGCGACTTGAGAAACTGCAAGTTGCTTCTGGTGTGAGAGAACTGGCCGTCTGCAAGGATGTTGCCCAGGGGATGCCCAGATTATTTCATGTTTTTATCATCCTTGTGAGAGGTTTCTCTCATGTCCCCGCAAGAGGAGCTGGAGCTGATAGAGGGACCTCGTCTGCCTCTCCCCGGATTTGGACCTGTCGGCCTTAGTCCTGCTAGCATAGGGGTTTAACTCACTGCACCACCGGCGGCTCCATCAATACAGTTAATCCACATTCTCAATCTGGATTATAGGGCAGTGTAGATCCAACAAAACAACCCTACAGGTGGAATTTCAATCCTTGTTTGATTACACTATGTAACATTATTTTTGTTCCTGGGTTATACATGTCATTTCCTAATTGGGTCTATCATAAAAACATGGAAAAGATTTATTAAATGCATAAACTTTGTTTTTGTGGGACACCCTGAAGCATATTTTGCTATAGTTTTTCAATTAATATCTATTTGAGTCTCAACCAATTCAACATAGCCACAAAAAATGAGGTTTCTGGAATAGAACTACTTTCAATGTACATACCACACAATTAAACAGGAAATAATACTTTCAAACTAGGAACATAATATTTTTAAATGTTATTACATACTTTTATCTGAGAATAAAGGCTCCACCAAATTTTAATTTATGATTCTAATCATGGTTATCTGCCAATAAAGGTGGATCTATTTTTAAAAGCTTACATTTCCTTTTGTTTAGTTGTAACTAATTTGAAGGGGCTGCCTGGAAGCTTACCTAAATGTTTCGTGAACTGGTTAAGAAGCCTTACCAGTAATTATTAAGGCAATTAAAAGGTTTTGATGCACTTTAGCCTATCAGGGATTGAGTGCAATCCTACAAAAACAGTGAGCTATTCTAATTAACTTGACTCTCTCATCAGCCAAAAGCAGGCCCACACTTCACATTGAAATACTATTAAGTTTATGTTGGTTAAAAGTATTCTTCATTGTAAATATTGTATGGGTTTTTTTGCACTACAAATGAGAGATATGCAGTGTGCTTAGGAATTGGTTAGTGTTTGTTTGTTTTTTTCAAGCTCTAGTCCGGCCCCCCAACAGCCTGAGGGACTGTGAACTGGCCCTCGGCTTAGAATGTGGTCTAAAACACCTGAAGAGGAGGCGCAGGACTTTGGGATCACAGCTCCAGAGACCCTCTGTTCAAGCTCTCAAGCTGTTTCCAAGGGAAAGGTGCTGTGCAATGTTGTCCCAGTATCAGAGAATCCTAAGAGCGGAAGAGACCCGCAAGGGCCACCCACCCCCTTCCCCACCAGCCTCAGAAGTGGCTCCGTCTGGGAGAGGGGGAAGGAGAGGAGCAGCCCTGCTGGCATGGGGGGACAGGGATCTTCGATCAGTGCCTCGGAAAACATGCGTGGCGAAGTCTCCTACTCCACTACAACACCGCCAGAGCTCTGTGAGTGCAGCTTTTTTTCCAAATGAAGCATAGAGTATTTGAAGACCGGGACATCCGTAGGAATACCAAGGTGATGTTTATAAAGCTATTGTCTTCCCCAACCCTGTTATACGCCTGTGAGATGTGGACTGTCTACAGACGTCACATACAACTCCTGGAACGATTCCATCAGCGCTGCCTCCGGAAAATCCTGCAAATCTTTTGGGAAGACAGGTGGACAAATGTCAGCATGCCGGAAGAAGCAAAGACCACCAGCATTGAAGCAATGGTCCTCCGCCATTAACTCCGCTGGGCCGACCACGTTGTCTGTATGCCCGACCACCATCTCACAAAGCAATTGCTCTATTCCAGTGGTTCTCAACCTTGCTAATGCCGTGACCCCTTAATGCAATTCCGTATGTTGTGGTGACCCCCAACCATAATGTTTTCGTTGCTACTTGATACCTGTCATTTTAATACTGTTATAAATCGTAATGTAAATATCCGATATACAGGATGTATTTTCATTCACTGGACTAAATTGAGCACAAATACCCAATATGCCCAAATGTGAATGCTAGTGGGGTTGGGGGGGATTGATTTTGTAATTTGGGAGTTGTCGTTGCTGGGATTTATAGTTCACCTATAATCAAAGAGCATTCTGAACTCCACCAGCAATGGATTTAAACCGACCTTGGCACACAGAACTCCCATGACCAACAGAAAACATTGGAAGGGTTTGGTGGGCATTGACCTTGATTTTGGGAGTTGTAGTTCACCTATATCCAGAGGAGTGTTGTGGGTTCATGCAATGATGGATCTGGACCAAACTTGGCACAAATACTCAATATGCCCAAATTTGAACACTGGTGGAGTCTAGAGAAAATAGACCTTGACATTTGGGAGTTGTAGTTGTTGGGGTTTATAGTTCACCTACAATCAGAGCATTCTGAACTCAACCAACATTAGAATTGGGTCAAACTTCCCACACAGAATCCCAATGACCAACAGAAAATACTATGTTTTCTGATGGTCTTTGGCAACCCCTCTGACACCCCCTTACGACCCCCTCAGGGGTCCCGAACCCCAGGTTGAGAAACACTGCTCTATTCTGAACTCAAGAATGGAAAACGGAATGTTGGTGGGCAGGAAAAGAGATTTAAAGATGGGCTCAAGCCAGCCTTAAAAACTGTGGCATTGACACTGAGAACTGGGAAGCCCTGGCCCTTGAGCACTCCAGCTGGAGGTCAGCTGTGACCAGCAGTGCTGTAGAATTTGAACAAATGGAGGGCGAAAAAGAAATGTGCCAAGAGGAAGGCGCGTCAAGCCAACCCGAACCTTCCACCTGGAAACCGATGCCCTCACTGTGGGAGAAGATGAAGATCAAGAATAGGGCTCCACAGTCCCCTACGGACCCACTGCCAGGACACTGAGCCTGGAAGATCTTGGAGTGCTCGTGGACAACAAGTTAAACATGAGCCAACAATGTGATGTGGCGGCAAAAAAAGCCAATGGGATTTTGGCCTGCATCAATAGGAGCCTAGTGTCTAGATCTAGGGAAGTAATGCTACCCCTCTATTCTGCTTTGGTTAGACCACATCTGGAATATTGTGTCCAATTCTGGGCACCACAATTGAAGAGAGATATTGACAAGCTGGAATGTGTCCAGAGGAGGGCGACTAAAATGATCAAGGGTCTGGAGAACAAGCCCTATGAGGAGCGGCTTAAGGAGCTGGGCATGTTTAGCCTGAAGAAGAGAAGGCTGATAGGAGATATGATAGCCATGTATAAATATGTGAGAGGAAGCCACAGGGAGGAGGGAGCAAGCTTGTTTTCTGCTTCCTTGGAGACTAGGACGCGGAACAATGGCTTCAAACTACATGAGAGGAGATTCCATCTGAACATTAGGAAGAACTTCCTGACTGTGAGAGCCGTTCAGCAGTGGAACTCTCTGCCCCGGAGTGTGGTGGAGGCTCCTTCTTTGGAAGCTTTTAAGCAGAGGCTGGATGGTCATTTGTCAGGGGTGATTTGAATGCAATATTCCTGCTTCTTGGCAGGGGGTTGGACTGGATGGCCCATGAGGTCTCTTCCAACTCTTTGATTCTATGATTCTAAGACTATCCTACTCGGACAACGAGGGATCGCCTAAGTAAGTGAGTACTCTGGAAGCTTTGAAGCAGAGGCTGCACGGCCGTCTGTCGGGAGTGCTTTGATTGTGTGGGAGAAAGGGGGTTGGGCTGGATGGCCCTTGGGAGTGTCTCCCAGCTGTAAGATTCTGTAACGCACCCACACCACTGAGCAGCACCCTTCCCTTGGAAACACTTTGGGAGCTTGAACAGATGCTGGGCTACCGAAAGTCCTCTCCTCACCCCCTTTCAGGCGTTTCACACACAATGCCTACCATCTTAGGCCACTTGTGGGCAACCCACAGCCCCACGGGACTCGAGGAGGAGGGGATGCGCGTGGGTTCCCAAAAGGGACTGGGGGGGGGGGGGGGAAAACGCCACGGAAGCATGACCTCGAGGAAAGACGCTTGCCTCCAAGGCTTGAAGGGGAGTGGGGGTCGATGGTGATGGTGGCAGGCTACCCTGCTCTACGCAAATGCCTGGGAGCCCACGCGGGAATGGAGGCTCCTTCTGAAGGCAGGTCAGAGCAGGGCGCAGCAACAGGAGGAGGGAGGAGAGGGGAAAAGATGGAAGAGCCGTTGCCCTGGGAGCCCTGGGGGGGGGGGGAGAGAGAGAGAAAGCCTCGCGCCACTGACCTCGCGCTCCCCGCCGACATCGTCGCTTCTGCCTCTGCTCCATCTGCTGCGGCTGCTTTCCGCTTCCTGTAGCCAGGAAAGCACCGCCCTTACCCCGTGGAGGCGGCTTTGGGTTGGGAAAGCGGGGGGAGGAACGACGGGAACAGGAAGAGCCAGGACCCGCGCCCTTCCGCCTGTTGGGCTGTTTCCATGCAAAACAGAGCCCCCCCTGCGCGCACGCACACACACCCCACTCCCATGCGGGGATCCCTGGGTCTAGACTAGAGCTTACACACTGCTAGGGATTTTGGCCACGCCTCCACCCTTGTGGGAAACTACGTCTCTCCCACTCAGGGGCGGCTCCTCCATTACGCGAAGTAAGCGGTCGCAGAACACTTTTTTTTGCCAGGGGCGCAGAGGCGCCTCTGTAAATGCCCCTCGACTGCCACTTGAGGAGCGCCCCCTCAGCTCACAACAGCCCTAGCAGTCCGGGGGAGCCTCGGCTTTCTTGCCTCGTTGCTGGGCGATCCTCTTCCCAAAGGGGCCGGGCCCTTGAGCCTCGCCTCGCCCCTCTTGTTCCTGCTCCACCTGACCACCATGTGCGCGAGCAGAGCCAGCGCTCAATCATTCTCCGCGTTCGATTCCTTCCCCATGACCGGCTCCCTTTCCTGATCCCCTGGCGCTCTCCTCTCCCCAATCCGCAGGTGGGCCAAGGGGCGGAGCCGCACCTGGCCCGCTTCGGGTCCGGAGGCGTGTCTGAAGACCCCAGCGTGCGCACCAAAAGTCACCTCTTCTCCTGACTTTCTCTTCAGCCATTGGGACCAAGAGAGAGAGAGAGAGAGAGAGCCCCTCCGGCTGGAGGTATCTCCCACCTCCGCTCCCTCCTTTGTTTTTGTGCCTACCTTCAGGAAAGGTGGGCATCTCCACCTCTGTCTCTCTCTCTTGGTCCCAATCCAATGGCTGAGGAGAAAGTCAGGAGAAGAGGTGACTTTTGGTGCACACGCCGGGGTCTTCAGGCACGCCTCCAGACCCAAAGCGGGCCAGGCAAGGGAGCAAGTGCGGCAAGTGTAGTTACTGGGATGTATAGTTCACCTACAATCAAAGAGCATTCTGAACTCCACCAATGATGGAATTGAACCAAATATGGCACACAGAACTCCCACGACAAACAGAAAATATATATCAATGATGGTTGGGGGGGGGGCACCAAAATACTGTTTGCTTACCGTTGAAAATTACCTAGGGCCGCCTCTGCTTAGGTGATCCCTCGTAGGATGATGGGGGATGATGTTCATGTTGGTGTTGATGATGGTGTTCAGAGGCGGCCCTAGGTAATTTTCAACGGTAAGCAAACAGTATTTTGGCGCCCACCCCCAACCAATCATTGATATATATTTTCTGTTTGTCGTGGGAGTTCTGTGTGCCATATTTGGTTCAATTCCATCATTGGTGGAGTTCAGAATGCTCTTTGATTGTAGGTGAACTATACATCCCAGTAACTACACTTGCTGCATTTGCTCCCTTGCCTGGCCCGCTTTGGGTCCGGAGGCGTGTGCACCAAAAGTCACCTCTTCCTGACTTTCTCCTCAGCCATTGGGACTGAGAGAGAGAGAGAGAGAGAGGTGGAGATGCCCACCTTTCCTGAAGGTAGGCGCAAAAACAAAGGAGGGAGCGGAGGTGGGAGATACTTCCAGCCAGAGGGGCTCCCTCTCTCTCTCTCTCTCTTGGTCCCAATGGCTGAAGAGAAAGTCAGGAGAAGAGGCGACTTTTGGTGCGCACGCTGGGGTCTTCAGACACGCCTCCGGCCCGAAGCAGGCCAGGCGAGGCAGCTCCGCTCCTTGGCCCACCCGTGGATTGGGGAGAGGAGAGGAGGCGGGTGGAGCGCCGGTGGATTGGGAAAGGGAGCCGGTCATGGGGAAGGGATCGAACGCGGAGAACGATTGAGCGCCGTCTCTGCTCGCGCACCCAGTGGTTGGGTGGAGCAGGAACGAGAGGGGCTAGGCGAGGCTCAAGGTTCCAGCCCCTTTGGGAAGAGGATCGCCCCACAGTGAGGCAAGAAAGCCGAGGCTCCCCCAGGACTGCTAGGGCTGTTGTGAGCTGAGGGGGCGCTCCTCAAGTGGCAGTCAAGGGGCATTTACAGAGGCGCTTCTGCACCCCTGGCAAAAAAAGTGTTCTGCGACCGCTTACTTCGCGTAATGGACGAGCCACCCCTGTATCTACTGTTATTGAACCCCCAAATGGACCCCCCCCTTTATTTGGTACAGTATCACAGCTAGGATCTGCAGCGGAGAATTCCGCATGTCCCGCAGGACTACAGCAGCCGAGGCCGACTGCCGTCCCCCAGAGGCCCCCCCCCCCCAGCAGCAGCCAGCAACCTCAAGGAGAACCCCACCGTACATTATCAGTCTTCTATCTTCTTCTATATAAATAAAAATGTAATGTTCGTTTGTGGGATTAACAGAACTCAAAAACCACTGGAGGAATTGCCGCCAAATTTGGACACAAGACACCTAACAATCCAATGTATGTCCTTCACTCAAAAAATTTGATTTTGTCATTTGGGAGTTGTAGTTGCTGGGATTTATAGTTCAGCTACAATCACAGAGCATTCTGAACCCCACCAATGATGGAGTTAATTCAAACGTGGCACGCAGAACTCCCATGACCAACGGAAAACACTAGAAGGGTTTGGAGGGCATTGACCTTGAGTTTGGGAGTTGTAGTTCATCTACATCCAGAGAGCACTGTGGACTCAAACAATGATGGATCTGGACCAAAATTGGCAGAAATATTCAATTTGCCCAAATATGAACACAGATGGAGTTTGTGGGAAACAGACCTTGACATTTGGGAGTTGTAGTTACTGGGATTTATAATTTGCCTACAATCGAAGAGCATTCTGAACCCCACAAATGACAGAAAATACTTAAGGCCAACTCTCTTCACCAGGGCAAGAAAAAGTAATCAAAGCCCTCCTGACAAAGAGCCATCCAGCCACAGATATAAATAGATAGATATGATTCACACACAGAGATATAGTGTCATAGATTTGAAAGGGACCCCTAAAGAAGGACAATGTTGCATATTCCAGAGTAGGCAAACCAGATACTCTCCACATCAACACTGACAAAGAAACAGCAAGAAATACTGTTTACCCACAAGCATAAAGAAATTACATATATTACAAACCAACGCTTTCTCATTATATTATTTTCCAGATCACCAGACTGGGCCACAGCAACGCATGGCAGGGGATGGCTAGTTATTAATAAAATTAAACCAAGTAACTGAGCTTTTCTGTCCTTTTTTATGTCTTTATTTTCTCACCATGAAATTCAAACCACTTCTGGGTTCTCGCCCAGCTGATGAGACCGGGAAAAAGCACTGCAGACCCACTGCAGGGTCTGCGCCTCCATCTTCACACTCCAATTCCTTTATTTATATTAATAAAACTTATAAAAACCAAATCCTGACTTTTGAGGGCCAGGGGCTGCCCATCATTCCTCCCCCTGTATCCGCAATCTCAGGTGCCAGGAGTCTTCTGGGCCCCTAGACACCCCTCACCTAAGTCATGTACCCCTAGAAGCTCCGAGTCTCCCGATAGCCCCTTTATCACCTTTCCTGTCTTCCCTTTTCCCAAATGACTACCTAACCTAGAATCCCCTATCTGTTCCCAAGGTGACGATTCTACATTTAATGTTGTTTTGCTTGCTTGTTTTCATGCTGCAAGTCACTTCTGGTTGCTTCTGGAGTGAGAGAATCAGCCGTCTATGAAGACGTTGCCCAGGGAATGCCCTGATGTCTTGCAATCCTGCGAGGAGGCTTCTCTCATGTATCCAGAATCACAATCAATGGCTGATACCAAATAAGAAATTTCCTCCTGGGCACACAGCAACACCACTGGCTCTCCAAGTGGCCAGCTACTGGTCAAAGGACATTTAATAGAAAGTTTACACAGTCTCTCCCCACCATCACTCCAGCAAAACCAAGATCCATGTACAGATTGCACCAAAGACATATCATATTTAGTCAACTCCTAGTACTACCATAGATTTAAAAGCAGGGAGATAACAAGCAATGGCACAGGAGTGCAGTTTGCACCTTTGCATGTGACCCAAAATGTCATTGTGGTCTAGGTGTTACGTGATTTAACCTCTGCTAAAATTGTGGATTTGAGACCCTCAGTGCCAAGCTTTCAGATCATAGAATCATTGAGTTGGAAGAGACCTCATGGGCCATCCAGTCCAACCTCCTGCCAAGCAGGAAAATCACCTTCAAAGAACCCCCGACAGATGGACATCCAGCTTCTGTTTAAAAGCTTCCAAAGAAGGAGCCTCCACCACACTCCAGGGCAGAGTTTCACTGCTGAACAGCTCTCACAGTTCTTCCTAATGTTACCAAGCAATTTAGAACAGCAGTGGATAGTGAGATCCATGTTGCTGTGGGTTCAGCTTGGTGAGAAAGAGAAGCCAATATTCCAAAATAAATCTCACCAAGTTGAAGCAGAAGCCACCGATGTATTTATTAAATTTCAGCTGAAAGTGATGCCAACTTGCAGTAATCTGCCCCCAAAATAAGCTGAGATACATAACTCCAACCATCACCCAAGTCAAAAAAGAAGCACCATTAAAGCCTTGGCAGACCGTGCAAAAAGAATCTGTGAACCCCACCTCCTCCAAGATGAACTGAACCACCTCAACTGGGCTCGCCAGGCCAATGGATACTCCACCTCAGACATCAGAAGAGCTGCAAGACCAAGAACAAGCCACGAGAGTAAAGATGAAGATCCACCCAGAGGAAAAGTGTTCCTGCCATACATCAAGGGAACCACTGATCGCATAGGGAAGCTGATGAGGAAACACAACATACAATCTACAAACCCACCAAGAAAATCCAACAAATGCTACGTTCAGCAAAGGACAAGAGGGATCCTCTCACCTCTGCAGGAGTCTACCATATACCATGCAGCTGTGGACAAGTCTACATAGGGACCACCAAACGCAGCATTGCCCAAACACGAATCAAGGAACATGAAAGGCACTGCAGACTACTTCAACCAGAGAAGTCAGCCATAGCAGAGCACCTGATGAACCAACCTGGACACAGCAGATTATCTGAGAACACAGAAATGCTGGACCACTCTCACAACCACCATGTCAGACTACACAGAGAAGCCATTGAAATCCACAAGCATGTGGACAATTTCAACAGAAAGGAAGAAACCATG